TTGTCAGACCACAGCCTTAGGTGTCCCCCTCCGCCCTCATGAAAACCGCAGTGCCTTCAGGAGAGCGCTGACTGGGATGGAGCTGCGTCATTTGGCCGTAGGGTAACTGATACGTTCTTCAATGCGTCTACGATGCAGACTGGCAGACCACAGTATTACGTGTTTTGAGGACAGCGTGATAGGACGATTGGGTGAGCCACATGTTTGGCATGGTTCCGTTTTTTCCCAGACACATTTTGCCGTTATGTTTCCATCTTTCTTCCGCCATCTTCCCCTTCTCGTCCTCATTCTCTTCCTCGTACTCCTAGCACTGGTCCTCCATATCCTCCCCCGGTCCTCATGCTCATCATCCTGGTCTTCGTCCTCCTCGTTGCAGGTGATCAGCAACAGATGACCATGTGATTTCATACCGTCCCGATCTCGATTGTCCTCCTTGTCCTTCCCCCCTCCTCCGCGAGGAGGACACGGCGGAGGGGAGGACCAGCAGGATGATGAAGAGAAGGTGGAGAGAGGAAGAAGGACGACGACGAGGCGAGTGGGAGGCAGACGAAGGCACTGTCCACGGGGTGGTGCCCACGGGCACGGTGGGCCTGGACTTTCGAAGTGGGTGGCGAGGTCGGCTGAGATTTGGCGACCGACTCACGGCTTATTTCGGTAACAGCATCATGGCGATGCGGCGCGATCCTCCGACCCCATCTGGGAGGCCTCTGACATTAGATGCGTGAACGTCGGCGGGTGGGGCCGACGCTGCGGCGATCCTGGCGCGGGCCTTGAGAGGCTGAACGCCGAGCCGCGATCGGTCGAGCATGAACGATCCGCCCAGCGTCGGGAGCCAGTGCAGGAGTTGCCACGGCAGGAGCCTGCGGTGGCTTGCATCTGCGTGCCCGTCCCGGGATCCCGCGGCACCAGGTCGTGGAGGGCGTCGATGTGCAGGCCCGCCCGCGCGCCGCCGGCCCGCTCTCCCCGTTCTGGCGCGCGCCTCTGCTGCGCTGCGGCTGGCGCATCCGCGCGGCCGTGGCGCCTGTTCTCTGCCCGCACTCAGGAGCGTACGGCTGGCGTCGCGAAGAGGCAACGATAGGGTGCAACACAATTCTCCGAAAAGCACGCCATCCCCCCTCGGGTATGGCTTCCTCCGTGCATGCTATCCTTGTGAGGCGATCCCCCTGCGAGGGCCCCAACTGTGCACGCTATCCCCCTGCCAGGGCTTCCTCCATGCACGCTCTCCCCAAGGCGGGGGGCTGCGAGCGCACCCGCGCGGCCGTGGCGCCCATCCTCTGCCCTCACTTAGGCGAGTACGGTTGAACTGCCCTCACTTTGGGGAGAGCGTGCATTGAGGAAGCCCTGGCAGGAGGATAGCGCGCACAGAAGGGGCCCTCGCAGTAGGATACCCTTACAGGGATATCATGCACGCAGTAGGATATCCTTCCAGGGATATCATGCCGCCTTTGTCGGAAATCGGTGTTGCACGCTATGTTCGCGACGCCAGCCGTAAGAGGTCATGATGATAATGATTATATAGTGCCCGCAGTTGCGGATAAGAGTGATGGGGCGGGGGGGGAGTATCGTCGGCAGTCTACGAAGCAAATTTAAGGAACCCTGCCGCAGGCGCCGACTTCTGATACATAGCACACCGAGCCCGCCGCAGGCGCCAATTGTCAGTCAACGCACAGTGGATGTTTCGGTCTACGTTGCCCGCGTGTCATTCAACATGTATGTACGTATCTCCCAAACCCTCGATACACGCCACGCCCTTTTCATCTTCAAACGTACCCCCTCTGTGGGTATAGTTTCCTTGCCTGCCCCGTGTAGTTGGCGCGGCCCTTACCATGGGAAGAGGAGGGAAAAGGGAAAGGGAGATCTTGAGGAAACGAGGGATAATCGAGAGGGGAAGGGGACAAGAGGAACGGAGCAGTATATTGAGGGCGAGAATCATTCAGCAGGAGGGGAGGAGAGCGGAACAATAACCTTGGCAAGCGGATCTTGGTGGGCGGGTCGGGGGCGGGTGGACCTTGACGGACGGGTTGGGCTCTGGCCTTGCCTTTTTTGCCTCGTCGGCCGTCGCTTGCTGTTGGGGGCCACACGCAGGGGCTCGTGTCCTGTGTTGCCCGAAGACTGTCGGAGGTTCAGGACGTCGTGATTGTTTGGAGTCGGCTGGTGAGCTGAGGTGGCCCACGGCTTGTTCCGGCCAGCAGAGATAGGGGAGACGCGGACCCTTTCGTCGCCACGGCTGAACGCGAATCGAGAATTTGGTCAGTTTCGACCCCAGGAGAAGTCTGGAGGCAGTTTTTTTGCGAATTTGCACTCGTCCTCCATCCAGCGCAGGCCGTTTCCAAACAATGATAGCCATACGCTCCAGGATTTCCAGGATCCACAAGATTTCCTAATGGTGCACACGGGCTGCAGAAGCGAGAACCTCCAGATACTTTGGGAGATCCTGAAATGCATTCTGAGCCAGTCCTATTATGACACCATTCCCGTCCTTGTCTTGTGGTTAGATAGTGTGTCCGATCCTTGAGCGTCACTGCTAGCGCTGATGGCGTCAGTGCTGCCGCGCCCGTTGTTGAGTCATGGCTGGAGGCGTTCTCTGGTGTTCGATTCGGTACGGTCTGGACATTCGTCGATCCGATGCGACCCGATGCATCTTAGCGCGGCCGATTTGATTCGATTCCGACTCCGTGACGATGCGGCCCGATTCAATGCACGTTCCGACACGATTCGACATCGTTCCGATGGTGACCGCTACTGTCGGCGTACTGAATATTCTTCTGGGCAGCCAGGTTGGTGACTCAGTCGCCAATTCGAAGAGGCTTCGCGATGAGCATCAAGTCACTGCCTCTCCGGGAGCAGAGAGTGCCTCTTCTTGTTTTGTGTTCAGGACACGGCCTCTATCAAGAAGATGGCCGAGGCACTTCGACGCTCTTCGCCTCCTTCGCTCTCATGCTGCTGTGTGTGGGTCCATCGAGCGTGCCACGAGGGCTGAAAAGTGGACAATCGAGCGGCACGACGCAAATGGCTGAACAGCGAGGTGCTTCCGCAGCAGTGTTTAATATCTTGCTGCTCCCCGTTGTTCCCTAATCGTTACAACGAGCTTCCAGGAGGCATTGAATCAAGAAGTAAGACACGGATGGCGGGCAGCGGTGTGCGTGTGCAGCACTGTTTACGTGGATTGGGCCGTTGTGACGCTGCGTTCAGGATAATGACCTACCTACGCGCGCGTGTCGTGCACAGGCCACACGCATCTTTCGACAGAGGTGGTTCATGGCCACGCCCCAACGGGCTGGCTTCTCATACCGCCCGTTTGCTTGTGAGCCGTTGGCATGAGAAACATTGTTCGGGCACCATGTTGGATTTGGCATGCAGTGTGGATATAGAGTGCAGAAACAGGATCCGAGCTTTAGGTGCTTCTGTTCCAGGTGTTCGTCTGTGTATCCTAATTGGCAGAGGCGTTTGTGTTGTTGGTTAGCTCTGCAGACCTTCAGGGGCCCACGTCATTGCTATGCACGTCTCTGGTTTATACTTTTCAGCTTGTCCCTCTCTCTCTCTCTCTCCCTCTCTTTCTCTCTCTTTCTGCGTCAGTGTTAAACCAGAGTTGTCAGACCGCTATACATCGCTTCGGGACCTTGGCAATTCGCAGGCGATTACGTCCCCGATCGACATCTGCATTAACAACGCTGGCTATTTCACTGAAGAGAAGGAGACCATCACGTCGCTGGACGACAAGGAGGAGCTTGCAGAGATCACGTCGCGGCATGCGTCTCAAGGTTTCTCTTCGAGCGTCGGAGTGACGTATACCGTATATGATATTGTGATCGCCGTTTCACAGCAACCATGTGTTGGATACAGCTCGCGACATCCAGGCGAGTACGTTGTGAATGTTGGCTGCTATATGTTTGCGGGGTAAATGGGCGCGAGCGGGTCGTGCAGGCATGTAGGAGTGTACCCAATTTCATCGATGGGGGCACGCTTCATGTGTGTACGTTGCGTTTCTTGTGCCGCGGAATAAAAGGCGAAGTTGGACGAGCATGGCCCGTCACGTTAGCGCTCGGCACCTAGACATGTCGGCGCGCCCTCAAATTTCCTTTTTCAACTTAGTGCCGCTTTCTGGCCGTCGAGTAACAGTTTGGATTCATTTGAACCAGATTCTGTCAGTGTACCAGAGCCAGTCCATGAGTGGCGCGGCGGTTGCTTTTGTCTGTCGATCAGGGAGGCCCCATAAGGAGGAGGATGAGGAGGAGCATGAAGTGCGAACGTACCATCAGGCCGCCGAACGTCCTACGGGAGACGGGGGTCTTGTGTGATTCTTTCGTGTGCAGTGAATTGTCGGTCCCCCCGCGCTGCCCGCACAGCACGGCAGGGATGGCCAGGCAAGGCAAGGGAAGGGGGCCCGCCCACGCAATAGATGATCCCGCCCAGTACGCCCTCCGCCGCTGCCGCCGCAGCCGTCGCTGAAAGCTGGCTCCGAATGGGCATTAGCAGCACGAGGGGGCCCCCATGTGGTAGCAAGGGCATCAGGGGGGATCATTCCAGGCCCGCACCCGACAGGTTGTCCGGTTTTTGTTGTGCTGTGCGTCGCACTGGGAGGGCGGAGGGCCCACGCAACCAGAAGAGGAGAGGGCGGAGGAGACGGATCTCTGGCCCAGTAGTGAAAGCCTTGTTAGATCGGAAGCCCGATAGATCAGAGGAGGAATAGGTACCAATACCGCCGACCTTGCCTCGATGTTGCTTTTCGCCTTTTCGGTCACTCGAGAGGCCCTCGTCGCCACGGCTGGATTCGCTTCGAAATCTTGGTCAGGACGCGCGCGCCCCAGGAGAGGTCTGGGGAGCAGCGGTAACGGTATTTTTTGGTGTTGCCCAATCGTGTCAATTTTGTAATCTTTTCTCCCGTTAGTTGGATTTGGATTGCCCCTTCGGGTCTTGAATTTTGAACAGCAGCTCTATCCAGCTCAGCATCTCCGAATCGAGTTCGCGAAGACTTGCCAGGAGAGGCGTTTCAAACATTGATGTTTCTGATTCCGACGCCGCGGCCGTACCCAGAGGAGCTTAAGCAGATCGACATCTGCGGGCTGGGTCCGCTCCGCGTCTCCTCCGCGCTGTATGCCGCAGGCCTCCTGAAGGGCGGCAAGGTCGTGATAATCAGCAGCCAGGCTGGTTCTGTAGAATGGCGAAAGACCCAGAATGCTGGCGAGGGCGGAGATTATGGGCATCACATGAGTCGGGCGGCGTGTAACATCGCGGGGGTCCTCATGTCCGAGGAGCTCAAGCCGGCGGGTATCCCTGTGGTGTTGCTCCATCCAGGGTTCAACCGCACAGACATGACCTCGAAGTATAGCGACATTTGGGACATAGAGGGTGCCTCGGAGGGAGGAGAAGCAACACCACCAGCGGGCTACCTCCAAAGAAGAGGTCCACAGAGCCTCCCCGTGCTAGAGATGGAGGGTGTCTCGAGCGGGACGCCGCAAAACATGGCGACCGCACCGCCAGAAGGACCCCTCCTAGTTCCTCGCGCTGGTGGCGGTGGTCCGAACATATAAGTTGCATCACGTAAGCTTAGGACGCAATCGATACCCCTCCGATACAAGGATACGAGGACACAAGGATACAATTCTTGACGCTTCGCGTACCCCAAACTCTTTGCCCCGTTCCCCTCCCCCCTCGCTCCTGGCCTCGCATCCGTGTGTTGATCGGCCGGAGACAGGCGCCGCCAGGGCGACTTCTCCCCGCCGTTCCAGTGCCGTCCCAGTGCCGGTCGCCGCGCTCGTCCCCATCCGTCGGGATGCTCGGCCCGATCACCTGGTCGCGCTGTACGCGTCCTCGCTCTTGAGCTGGCTGGAGCCTGGCGCCTAAAGGGCGACTTCTCTTTGCCGGCCTGTAGCCGGTCGCCGCGCCGTGGCGTCCCCACCCGCCGGGATGTCGGCTCCAGTCTTCTGCGTCTAATTTGGGTCATTTTGTCCCTCGCATGTGCATTCGCCACTGCGGCCAATTATTTTCGTTTCGCGCCCCGTTCGTTGCCCCGCTTCCTGACCTTCGCCAGGGAGCCGCCGACCAAAAAAACTACCCCCAAAATGTCCCAAACTCTTCGCGCCCGTCACCTACTTCATGGTCCTGGTGTTGTTCCTCCGCGTCCGCGCCTTGTTGGCCACCGTGAGTTCCGCCTGTATCAGGATGCTCGCTGCCCTGTTTCGTTCCTGCGCAGGTGGCATCGCCTGTCCCTGCTTGCCCGGCGTCCGACTTGATTCGCGCGCCTGCGTACCCCAAAAAATATCCCAGACACGATCGGGGACGTTCTTGAGGCCTCTTGGAGGCTATCGTGAGCCATGCTCGGCTAGAGGCTGCCGGAGGCTATCTTGAGCGATGCCCAACTATCTTGGGTTATCTGGAGGTTTTCTCGAAACCGATTGGAGGTCCGGCGGGAACTATATTGAGCCATGCTCGACTTCCTGGGCCCATCCCGGGGGTAGGAGGGGGAGGAGGAGGAGGACGAGGAGGAGGAGGAGGAAGAGGAGGAGGAGGAGGAGGGAGAGGAGGATGAAAAGGAGGAGGTGGAGGAGGGCAAAGAGATAATAATGACAAAGCTGGCCGACGATGAGGAAGAGGGGGAGGAATGCGGCATGAGTAAGATGAGGAGGACAGGCGGAGGAGGAGGAGGAGGAGGAGGAGGAGCAGGAGGGGGAGGGAGGAGGCAGGAACGGATTAGGGAACCGACGATGACAGGGAGGATTAGGGAACCGACGATGACAGGGAGGATGACGATGGCAGGGAGGATGATTGTTGCGAAAGTTTCAGGTCACCCCCATCGGAGATTCAACCATTGCGTCTTGGGGCCCTCTGGGGCCGCTGTTGTGCGTCTTGGGTGCCTCTGGGCGGGCCTCTTGGAGCCTCTTTGGGGCGTCTTGGGGCCTCTTGGGCGCCTCTTGGGCTCCTCTTGGGCCACCCTTTGGAGCCTCGGGGGCCTTTTCAGCAGGAGATCGATCAACCTAGTGGCCGTGGTGCATTCAGCCCGCCCCATGAAGGCACACTGTGGCCAAAACCTTAGTCACATCAGTGATGTTGGCCTTCTCGCCGAGGCTTCGTGGGGCGTCTTTGGTGCCTTCGGGGGGCTTCTCAGGGCGCTTTGGGTAAATTGTGGGGGCCTCGTGGGGGCCTTTTGGGTGTTTCTCGGGGGCTTCTTGGGCACCTCTTGGAGCCCTGGCTCTCTTGGGGCACCCTTGGTTGGCAGCTTCGGGGGCAATCTAGGAGGGAATCGGTCAGGAAGGTTCCACTTGCGCCCCCCCCCCCCCGAAGATGCCCAAATGTGGCCAGACACTGTTTTGGCTTACTCTCCGAGGTCATCTTGGACGCCCAGCCCCTCGCGAACCCCCCCGCCCAGGTCCAGGGGGAGGGGTCGGGGGAGGGGTCAAGCTACCCACCCGCCCGCAAGCCGTCGAGCTCACTCCCGCCAGCACTCCCAACACATAAGTAGCACCTGAGCGTCAGCATGCTCAGCGGTCGTCTTTGGATGGGCAGCTACTGAGAACCAATACAGGCCCTAGGTGCGCGACGTTGGGGCGAGGTGCGCCACACGTGCCAGGGGCGCCACATGCGCCAGGCATCCCTGGGGCCCGAGCGCGACAGGCATGAAAGTGCACCAGATGCGCCACGTACCTCGCGTGCGCCAGGTGTGCCGCACACTCCAGCCTTGCCAGGTGCGCCGCGTTCGGGGCACGCGCAGAGTGCGCCAGGTGCCCCTGCGCAAGTGACAACACACATCGGGAAACATGTCGGCCCCCGCCATCCCTGTCGAAAAACAGTGTCCATCATTGTGTCTGGTGCGCCTGCGCATAGTAGGCAACGCGCCCCCCCCCCCCCTCCCGCCGCCCTTGCCAATAACCTCTTGACAGTGATCGCGGGATGGCCGCGCATGATCTTGTTTTAACCGCGAGGTGCATGTTGTATTGTTTTTTTGTTGTGTTCTCAGGGATGGCAGGCCTGTGCACAGCATGGAGTATGCTGACACCCCCGCCGTCCTGGCCAAACGACAATGCAAGGTGCCCAAAATTATACTTTGTATTGTTTGTTGCACGGATGGTGGGGGAGGGTGTGCATCAGGTTGGCCGCGCATGCTCCAAACTTGGAAGCAACGTGAGGTCTGTATGTTTTGATAGGGGTGGTGGGATGCGGGTCGGTCGGCATGGTGTCAGCATGGTGTCGGGTTGGCCACTGGTCGCCTGGGGGGAGGGGTGTATATAAATAGTAAGGAACAGTGATCAAGACACATTCCACATAGCAAACCGTCTAGCTCATCCCCACCCGCACTCCCAGCTCATATGTAACACCTGAGCATCAGCATGTTCAGCGGTCGTCTTTGGATGGGCAGCTACTGGGAACCAAAGCCGAACCCATGTGCGCGACGTTGGGGCGAGGTGTGGCGCGCGTGCCAGGTGCGCCAGGCACCCGTGGGGCCCGAGCGTGCCAAGCACGTTTGGTGCGCCAGATGCGCCACGTACCTCCGCGTGCGCCAGGTGTGCCGCATACTCCAGCTGCGCCAGGTGCGCCACGTAGTTTAAGGCGCGAGCTTCGTTTGTGAGCGAATTGCGATGAATTCTCAGGCGGGAGCCTATTCCCTATCGGGCCCGCACTGCATGTTAGTAATCCGAGCGGTCCATCGGGACCCTGCAACTTTCGCTCAATTTAAGCCATTCAGGCCAGAATTCGGAGGAAGTGTGGGAGCCTCGTTTGTGCGTGACTTGCAAGGAATTCTCATGCGGGACCCCCTTCCCGATGCGGCCCGCGTTTCACGTTGGTAACCCGAGCGGGTCACCGGACCCCTGTACGTTTCGAAGGGAAATTTGCTGCACGGTTGGGTTTCGTGCCGCGCCTACCTCGAGACCCGCTGGGCTGTCCCAGCGGCCTGGCTCGCGGAGTTGCCCCGACGGCCTGCCCCGGCGGCCCGGCGGCCCGAGGGGTTGCTCCAAACGGATGGTATGCGGGGTTGCTCCAAAGGCTTTGTGATCAAACCATCGGCGAACGCGCGCGTGCTGGCCGAGGCGGCGACGGCGCCGAGAAACATCGATTTGTTTGCTCCGACCAGTGGGAAGGGGATGTGCACATGAAGGGGAGGCAGGAGGAGGATGAGGGGGGAAAACGTAAAGTGAGGGCGATGATGAGGAGGCTGTGGAGGAGGAGGAGGACGATGAGGAGGAGGAGGAGGAGGAGGAGAAGGAGGAGGGGGAGGAGGAGGAGGACGAGGACGAGGAGGAGGAAAGAGAGGAGGAGGAGGAGGAGGAGGAGGAGGACTACGACGACGAAAAGGAGGAGAAGGAGGAAGAGGAGGAGGAGGAGGAAAAGGGGGAGGGGGAGACATGGCAGAAGTTGGAAGAGAGGGCAGGGCAGTGGGTGAAAGGAGGGTGTCCGCCAGGGCGAGGAAGAAAGGGCTAAGGGCAAGCCAGGAAGATCCTCATGTCGGGTCTTACCGTCGGAGTAATATGATATGTAGGGATGGTGGTGGGGGGGGGGCATTGTTCCTGGTTGACCGCCGGTCGCCTGGGGGACGGGGTGTATACGAATAGGGAACAATGGTCAAGACCCCCCCCCCCCGCCCGAAAGCTGTCTCGCTCATTCCCGCCCGCCTTCCCGACGCATGAGTAGCACCCAAGCCTCAACGTGCGGTCGTTTATGGATGGGCAGCAGTTGGGAACCAATACGGACCTCATGTGCGCGATGAGGCGATTCGCGCCACGCCTGCCAGGCGCGCTAAGTTCGCCAGGTACCCCCTGGGGCTCAAGCGTGCCAGGCACGCCTCGCGCGCCAGATGCGCCACGTGCTCCACATGCCCCGCGTGCGCCGCATGTTCCAGCCACGCCACGTGCGCCACGTCCTGGGCACGCGCAGGGTGTGCCAGGTGCGCCTGCGCACGCGACAGCACGCATCGGAAAACATGTCGGCCCCCACCATCTCTGTCGAACACCAGTGCGCACTCCCGGCGGGGAGGACATCATGGTGTTTGGTGGGCTTGCACACAGCAGGCAATTTGCCAGCACCCCCGCGGCCTTTGTCAAACAACCATGGACAGTGTTCGCGGGGTGGTCGCGCATGGTGCAGATTTAACCTCGAACTGTATGGTGCGTTCGTTTGAAAGGGATGGTGGCCTTGCACAAACCAGGCAATCTGAGAGCACCCCCGCCGTCCCGGTCGAAATAACATGCGACATGCTCACGGGGCCCACGAGCATGACCCAAGATTTTGCCCCAAAGCGTGCTTGGTTTTGGTTTGACAGGGATGGGGGGGAGGCATTCGTCCTGGTTGATTGCCGGTCGTCTGGGGGAGCGGGTGTTACTTAATAGGGAACCGTGATGTACCCGTCCCTCCCCGAATGGCCACTCACGCCCTACAAGGCTGGTGGGATTGGCGTCCTATTGAGATCACTTTTGAATAGTACTGGGTCTTATTGGAGGAAGGGGGCGCCCGGAGCCAGGGCAACGCCTCCAGGTGCTGGATGCGTTATTGTTTCACCGGATGAGGGGGTAGGGTTCGTGATTCGGGCGGGATGTCCGTACGGATTTCTTGGATCGGCGCTTGACCCTCTGTTCTGGCTCGCGAAACACGCCAGAAGCGGCGATGGCGGCGCCGCCAGGAGGTTCCAGCGTCGATGTATGACATCCGCGCGGGTCTCCCGACAATCATGTTTATGCAGTTTTCTTTGCTCCGTTGCCAGCACTGCGAAATTAGAGGGCGCCTTCTTCGTCCATCTCTCCGACAGCCTGTCGTCCTGCTTTCCGAAGTCTTGAGACTCAGGAGGGCCGCGCAGAGTCCTCGCGGGACTGGTTGTGGAGTTGTGGTGTCGGTTTTCTTTGCTCCCAGGTGCCGTGGATGCCAGCGAGGGCGCCAAGCGCGTGCTGCACGAGGTCAAGGGTGTCTCGATGGAGACCACTGGCACGTTCATCAATTGCGAGGACGGTCTTCAGATCCCGTGGTGACGTTCGAGCCCGGATCTTCTCGGTCGCTATGAAGCTGGGGGGCGTCCACGGGGGGGGAAGGAGTAGGGGGCTCATATCATGGATGAAGCCAGGAATATCCGAGTTTTCTTGGCCGCCATCTTGCTCGCCTGATTGGTATTGTTAGTATTGATATTCGTACTTTTATCAGTGGTATAATCATCAGGTTCATCATTATTGTTTTGTCTTGTATTTCTTCGTCTCACAACATGTTCCCTGCCCCCCCCTCGTCTGCGCACATGCTTCGGGCCATGACGCACTAGCCCCTGTTTTCCTGGCCCCCCTCGTCGGCGCACCCGAGAAGCAAGCGGGTCCTGAGGAAAAGGATTCTGCAGGTTTCCTGTGTATTCCGCCAACAGAAATTGCTCAGGATGAAGAGCTGGTCCTGGGGTCCAGGATCTGTTTCCCTCGGGCCCCGTCAGCGTCATGCCACTCTCGGGCAGTCCCCGTTTTCACTCCTCTTCTCCCTGCTATTCCTTCTCTCCTTCCCCATCCGCCTCCTCCTTTGTTTGCTGGGTCACCCGAGATCGTTGCGTCTGGTGGCGCAGCAAAAGAGGGCGCGAGGCGACATGCAGCAGCTTCGCAGAGCGCGAGAATGAAGACTGGCAGAGTGAGAGCAGGAAGCGGCGAGCAGCTCGGGTGTGCGTGTAGGTGGCGGGGCACGTTGCAACTCTGGGTCTCCTCATCCTGCCTCTTCCACCGTCCCACTCAGTTGAGTACCTGCAGCCTGGCCGTTGAGCGGAACGACTAATAGTGCGGAAGAGATGGGTAAGCGTGGTAGTTCATGCGGGCGTCAAGCATCAGCTCCACACCGTGCATCTCTACAGCGCCGAGGGGAATAACCGTCGGTGGCTGATGTAGAACCATGAAAACCAGGAGGATGGTCTCTATTATTCCCTCTGCCGGGGCATCCGCGGGTGGGCCCTTTATGCAAGCGCTTGCCCAGGCCACCATCAAAGGTGCAGGGGTGGTGCTCTTCCAAGGATTGCGGGCCACGCTCTACGAGCAGTTCGTATGCCAACCCGTGGCACCTCTCGCGGACTACGCCGGCTCCTCTGCGGGGCCCGCGTGGTCCGCCCAGGCCGACCTGAGCGGCGGAGGATACTGTTTTCTCGCCGCTGCAGGTGCCGTGTGTCCGACCGTCTGCCTGGGCTTGGCGGTGGACCTGAACAGCGGGATGACCCTTCTGCTGCTCTCGTCGGTGGTGGCCCCATTGGTGACCACCTCCAGCTGCAGCCTTTGCGGAGGCTGTTGCGTCGGGGCTCTGGTGGCCCGCTGGCGGGGGTCGTCAGGGCCCCTTCGCACACGGGCGGCGATCGCAGCCCTTGGCGGGCTCGGTCGTGGTTTGCAGCGCCGCACCCTGGCCTACGGCCCAGGCGCGCAGGCTGAGGAGCGCGCGCGGTCCTTGGCACGAGGCTCAGCCACTGCGCCTCAACGCGACTGAGCACGGCTGGCGGCTTGTGCGCCCATCCCCGACGGGCCGCTCTGGCCCGATCTTCATCCGTTCTCGTCCCCAACAGCGTCGCGGTACGACCGCTGGCTGCTGGGCGAGGGCGAGGTGAGCTACGCCGCGATCTCCTTGGCCAAGCGGTCAGGGGGCATCCTGCCGGCATTGCCTGGGTCCTTTAGCCCGGCCGAACTTTTTTTGTTTCCAGTTTGGCGGGGGCGGAAGGATTCCGCGGGCTGGCTGGCCCCTTCCCAGTGGTCAATTTGCCCTTGCTTAGCGCGGCGTCGCGCCCGCTGAGCACGACTGCGTCAGTGATCGTGGTCGAATTGGATATTTCCGAGCTCTCGCCCCTCTCGACGAGGGAGCCGACGTGGTCGTCCCGTTCGGATCCGCCCGTGGCCGCGCGCATGGGCCGCGCCCTTCGGGGGTCGTCGGCCCGCGCGACGGCTTCGCGGCGACCCGCGGCGTCGCGCCGCTGGCCAGGAGCGAGCGAGCGACGCCCTACCACTCCGCGGACGAGTGCGCAGAGGGCGGGGAGGAAGGCGACGCCGACGTTGAGGTACGTCCTCCTTCCTGTGCGAGCGGCGCCGCTGCCGGCGGCGCCCTCCCTCCGCCGCGGGACCCTGTCGGGGCTCAGCCGAAGCCTTGGGCGAGCGAAGCCCGCCCCCGCGCGGGTTGGGGGGGCGATCGCCGCGGCTTTGGGCGAGCGGTCTGCCTATGACGCGCGCGGAGGTCCAGCTGGAGATCCAGCGGCTGATGGCCGCGAATGCGGCTCAGTCGGTGTCTCCACGGGCCCGCGTCGAGGAGCCTTAGCTGTTCGCAGGCAGCGGCGCGCGTGGGCATCCCTCAGGAGGACCTGCAGGCGATGCCAGCGCACTCGGCGCACCCCTCGCGGCGCGCCCCCAGCGCCCGCGTCGGCGTTGGCGACGGCGCGGGACAGGAGGGCGCCTGCGAGCGCGCGTCCGCCTCTTCCGCCGCGCCCGTCGCCAGCGCCGCCCCTGCCAACCCGGGCCCCGCCGCCCCCGACAGGGTCGGCGACTGCGTCGGGGCGGGCGCCGCGGGAGACGGACCTCGCCCAGGCAGCGCGCCAGAGTCCATTTTGGACGTGGTGTCACTGTGTCTGCGGGGGTCCCCCCAGCGGTCGGCGGCCAGAGGCGGCGACGCGCCCCCTTTTAGGGGCGCTCAGCGACCCTCTTCACCCCGCTGCCCCCGTCGCCCAGGGGGCAATGGTCGAGGGGCGGGTTGTCGAGGCCTCGACGCGCGTGTCTGCGCGTCGCAGGAGGCGGCGGCAAGTGCTGGCGCAGCGCGGGCATGAGGTTCGATCCATTCCGAGGGCGGACCTTGCTCGGGCTCTGGGGGTGGAGCCGACCGCGGTCGCCCCCATGGCCATGCCCCACTACTTTCGCGAGCGCAGCCCTCTGGGGGCCCGCCCTGCGACGCGCGAGATGCTCGCCCATTGCGCGCGGCTGAGCGCGCAGCTGCGGCGGGCGCCCGGCAGCGGGGGCGCGGGCAGGGCGGGGGCCCTGATCAGCGGCCAGCGCATGTTCTTGGGAGCTGGCAGGGGGCCGCGGCTGCCTGGAAGCCGCAGAGTCCCCAGCGGGGCTCGAGGCACCCTCGGCGCAGGCGATTCGTTTCCACGCGGAGATGGAGGCCCCGCAGCCTTTCTCTCCGCTCGTGGATCCCCGCTGGCTGTCGGCTCTGGGCGACGACGTGGAGATGGCGCTCTTCCGCTCAATCCTCGACGCCGAGCCAGCGGGGCTGGCGCGGGCCCCCCTCCGCTGGCGCATCGAAGACTTCGCCCAGGGCAAAGCCCAGGGACGGGAAGTCGCTCCCTAAATGCGCCCCCAAGAAGGCCAGCGGGGCCAGCGGGGGGGGGGCCCGCGAATTTCGCGCGCGGCGGCCCAGGACAGCGGTCGCGACGAGCTGAAGTTTCCGGCGGCGTTGCGACCGCCGGTCATGCCTGGGCTGAGCGGAGCCGCGGCCGCGGGAATGTGCTACTCCAGCGATGCTTGCGCGGCCCCGCAGGGAGACGCGCGCTCCGCGGTCGCGGCCCTGGCTCTGTCCCAGGCCCCCATCGAGCCCCGACGGAACCGGTGGTTCCTCCTTGCTCTGGCGGCGCGGGCGCTGTTTCGCCCGCCGCCTGCGCCGCTGTCAGATCGCGCCCTTCGTCGCTGGCCATGCTGCCTAGCTGCGCCAATTCCCCCGCGCGAACGTCGACGTCGCCCGCTGGGCCGCTGCGTTGGCCCAGGTGGGGCGGGGTGCTCGATGCCCCCCTGCCTCCCCCCCCCGCCCCATCCCTGCGCGCGCCGGTTCGGGGCACCCCTCCTCCCGAGGGGCATTCCTCCCGCGATTCTTGGCAGCGCCCTCCAGCCCCCGCTCTCCAGCCGCCCGCGGCGTCGTCGTCGGGTCGTTTTCGCGGCCGCTGGCGGCCGAAGCGCGCTGGGCGGGCGCTAGCGCGGCGCGCCCTGCTTTTGGCAAGTCTAGTCTCGCGCCCCCCGAGACTCGCGCGCGCGGCGGTCTCGCCTTGCCGCGAGGGCATGCGGAGCCGCGTCGAGCGGCTCTGCATGATCGCGGCTCGCCTTGCCCAAGGGGGCAAGGGCGATTTGGGGCGGACGTTTGCGAAGTTCGTCGCCGCCGAGGTCTCGCTCCATGGTCTGGCCACCCATGTTGCAGCTCTCGAGGCATCCTTCCCCCCCTCTTCTCTCGTGCCCACCCCCGTGCGAGCGTGCCCGAGCAGCGCGCCAGTTGCTGGCTCGCCGGCTGCCGCGGCGGCCTGGGATTCCTCCCGCGCCGAGAACTTCGACCTGCAGGTCAGGGCGCCCCGCGTCGAGTGGGATTATTCGTCCAAGTTTGGCCCTGCCTCCTTTCTCTCCGACTCTCGGGTCCGCGCTGCCTCTCTGGGCCCCGAGGTCAAACGCCTTCCGCGCGGAGAGTGGCCTCGGGGGCTTCGGGGTGCTCTCGGGCCCGTCTGGCTCGCGCGGAGCCGTGGGCGCTTCTTCGGAAGTGGGGCTCCTGCGGCGCTCTGCATCTGTCTCCCTCCTCGGACCTCGCTTGGGACGAGGCGCGCGGGGCCTGCAGAGCCCCCGAGGACGACGATTTTGATCGTCTGATCCTCAATCCCGCGGTGGCGAACAGTCGCTGTCAGAGCATCTCCTCCAGCGCCCTGCGCCTTGGCCAGGGCTTCTGGCTTTGCCGCATGAGCCTGGCCTCTGGCGAGTGGCTGGTTGCGTCATGCGGTGATTTGCGCGAGTCGAGGTACCACCGATGAGGGCCAAGCGGAATGCGTTGCGAGCGCGGTTCCTTGCGGACCGCTTCAAGTCGTTCGCGGCATGGCGACCCGAGCTGGAAGGGCTCGATGTGCCTACGTGCTTGAACGCGCTCGCGATGGGCGATAACATGGTTATTGAGATCGCCAATTCCGCTCATGAGGGTGCGCCGCGCAGGTTCTGGTCTCTCGGCCCTGAGGAGCAGGTGATGCCCCACGGTTTGATGACAGGTGATGCCCCACGGTTTGATGACAGGTGATGCCCCCATG